GTGAGATAATTTATAAAAAACATTAGTCTATACATTCTAAATACCTAATAAATGGCTTTTCATGGAATGGAAAAAATTACTATAATGACAACTGCCTATACATTAAAAACCATATTCAGGAGAGTGATTTAGAAGCAGCTTTGGATGGACACTAAAGTTTTCTCTATTTTACATAGCCCCTCCATACTTGTTACCCTTTCTCTTTTTTAATTTATTGTTTTAAAATAATTCTTGCTATAAGGTACATGTGCTCACCGAGAGAGACAGGGACAGAGACAAAAAGAGAAAAGTGAGAAATCGCCCCCCAAGGGGGACAGCTACACCACGATCCCTTCTCTTTTTCATTATCCTCTTGGGATTTTGGTCATGCATATACATGTACCTGTCGTGATTTTCAAGCCACCAAGCCTAGGACTCAAATCATGGTCAGCTGTGTGGGAATCCAGCATCTTTCTCTAGGGTATTTATTTACTCGGTGGAAAAAACACTGCATTTTTAAATCAACGATTAATTTAAACTAATAAATTATAATACTTCACTCCAAGATGTCTCTAAAGGCAGAACTATACACAAAACATAGATGGATATTATGAGAAAGTGAACTTAGGGTCAATAAAAGAAACCAGTTTCTAGAATAGATATTTCCATAGTTATAACAGGTTGCATTGCCTTAAAGATCTCATGCCTTGTACATAAAAACCTTCAAGAACAAGTTACATTTCTCCTACTGGGACTACTGACACACAAGTTTAGGTGGTTGGGTTCGGCGATTTCTATGTCTCTTCCTAATATTGTGTGACATTTATTTTCTTTTCTCCAAAAATCCTCTGCATTTTAAACGCTAATGTAACAATCTAAGTCTTAGAACACTATCTATGCATTTAGAAATCCCACTGACATTTTCATTTTTAGACATGCATAGATGCACTATATAAAGCAACACAGGATACAAGAAATTTTAAACTGGCTTTTTCTCCTTTGATTGAGATCAATACTCAGAACAGTCAATTGTTTTACGTTTAAACTATCTGTTCATATTGCTGGGGAAGAAAAGAAACTCAGTGGGACATTGCAAAAACTTTTATCTATTAATTTGTTAATTTGTTTATTTGTTTATTTAACAAATATTTATGAAACATTTATAAAGCCCTTCCTATACACTAAGTATTATGCTATGTGATAAAAGGTTGTATTTTACAGAAAGAGCTACAACAAGCACTTGGGTTCCAAATAAAGAATGAACATTTTACATATTTTTCAATGTTTTTTTAAAAAAATTGCTAGAGGGCGCATGTGCTCACCAGAGGAGATAGAGGGAGGGAGAGAGAGAGCTCCTTCCCCCATGGTGGCGGGTCATACTGCAATCCCTTCTCCTTCACTTCTCCTTTTGGGATTTTGAGCAATCATGCACATGTGCCCAGTGTGTTCATAAAGCTGCTCGTTCTAAGACTTGAACCAGGTAGTTAGCCATATGGGATTCAGCTGCCTTAACCACCATGCCAGAAGCAAGTCCCCATTTTCTGGTATTTTATGTAGATAAATACCTATTACATGTTAACCTGTTTACCTAATCATCTAAAAAATATTCAAACAGAATATATTCATTCAAGAAAATTTTATAGTAGGAATCAATCACAACTTTACTGTATACATATAGCTTATAAATGAACTGTTGTTTAAATTTGAATTTGATTTAGAATAGTAATAAACACTTCTTAGTTTATCTGTATGGTGATAAAGATATATAAAATTTGTACTTTATATTCATAGTATATAACATGTAGATATCACAGAGGACAATATTTATGGAGATGATTAATGAAAATAAAATTTTTTATTTCCCATCACTATAACATGACCATAGGTCAAAGGGTTATTTTATGTGAAAGTACAAACCAGTTCTACCATTCCCAGTTAAACAGAGCACTTCTCTGTTTTGTCATGATAATTTATCCTTATCTGACTTGTTGATTTCTCTCTTGCCTCTTTAAACTTGAATCCAATGTATACTTAGATAGAAAAATATTTTTAATCATATTTTATTATTTTCTTTTATCATCTTTTTTAGCACATAATTAGAATCTCAAGAAAAGCAATCTAGTTATTTGAGATATTCTTGGAAAGACTGATTTAGGGAGGAAAAATATAGTTAGTAAAAGCTATCTTTGATGTTATTTAACATACACACAAACAGATCTTTTCATATTTGACATTAAAAATCTGATCATTTGCCTCACTAAAGAAAGCATATACAGCTTTTATACAGACTGCACAGTAAAGAATAATAATATTTCTGTTTACTGAGATATCAACTGGCATTTCACTGTAAGTCAATGGTCTATCGTTGCTACAGCGTATTAGACCTCAATCTGGCATCTACAAATGTCAAGAGTATAAAAAAAATATAGGATGAAAATCAAAAGCATGTTCTGAACTCCCAAAAAAAATAATAAAAGGGAAACAAAGTTCACCTAAACATATTTGCTGCAGAAATCAGTGCAATATTCAGCTGTCAATCTAGAAGAACAACGAGGGAGCTACACTGTCAGTAGGACAGGATAATAAAATTTCCAGCAGATGTTCAGGCAGGGCTCTAATTTTTACTGAACTCCCTTGGTAAGCATTTAATTTCTTTATCATATGCAGGCTCGGCAAATTGTACTTCATCAAAACTGTATTGTGAAATATTAATATTTCATATGATAACAAAACTCTATAGAATAACCTCTGTCAAATTAAGAGCATCCAAATTTCAAATGTCAAGTTTCTGAATTTTAATACATTTTAAATAAATAGATCCTTGAATTGGCATAATAAATTATAATAAGGCTAATTTAAATTGGTACACTATAATTCCATCCAAATGTATAGTACATACAATATTTTAATAAACTTCTTAACTAAAAGGCTGTGGGAAAAACATGTGTTCATACAACTGAGTTGTATACCACAACACTTTACAATAAGAAAGCATAGAAGCTTATAAGAGGCAATTATATATTTCCAAGAGGTTTAATCACTAATTAGCAATAATGTAAGAAAATTTAAAAGGCAATGTCTATTAGGCAAACTGACTACTCTTCAAAATCATGCATGAGAAATAGTCTTTTATGCTTAAATGTTATTATGTAAGTCCAAGTTGGCATCATTATTTCTGTCATTATGATCTACACAAATATGTTTAAAATAGTCTTTGCACAATATTTTCTTGACCTCACCATCAAAGTAAGTAAAACAGGGCTTCCTAAAAGACCTCCATTATTATTTTTCATGTGCCAAATTAAATTTGCATTTGTTTAGTACTCCTCTTTTGAATCAGAATCACACACTTCTAAATTGATAGATTAAATTCAAACTGTAGGTTTAAAAGGAGTTAGCTTCCACATTTATTTTTGCTGGTGATCCTAATAAAGGGAAATGCTCTCATGCTACGGAAAGACACAGTATCACAAATCAATGCATGTCACCAACAGAGTAAAGACCGATGCCGCTGATTAATCAAATTCAATTTTTGCAAATAAAGAAAATAGCAAATTCAAAGCAAACACCTATTTTGTGCTATAATTTTTCCTTGTACCCCATTAACAGCCTATTTCTCTGTGTGTATGTGCATATGTGTGTGTGTGTATTTACAATAAATAGCACACCTCATGAAGTCATTAAATTGTATTAGTGACTCAGTTCCCCCAAACAGATGAAACATTTGATTAAAGCTTCTCAGTAATCTTTAAAGGATGAATTGAAACATAGACAAATACATTATTGATATTCTAAGAAGCTGTAAACAATTGATTCGTGGTACTATAAAGCTAAAGTCAGTATGTTCTATTTATTTTTACCTAACAAAAATATTTCTAAATATTCAGCCAACTAATTTTTTTTAAAAGAAACTTTCTTTAGTTATTTAAATATATTTAAGAAAGTTTTTCCCCACACTGGTTTTTCCTAAATTTTGAAGATATTTTAGAATATTTTGACCCCATTTACACATAACATCTTGTAATGCTGTCAAGATAAGACAATCCAGTTGTAATATTTTAGCCATAATAATGCAGCTATTGATCCTAGTAAGAGGAGAAAAAAAGGAGAGAATGTGCTTAATGGGGCATGTTTATTCTCTATTATTTTCTTTTGCCTAAGGATAAAGCTGATTTAAATAACGATACTTTTCTCTTAGTCACCAGATTCACACATTCTTATACATTAATTATTACTAACTACCAGTTAGTACTAAATACATTGAGAGATTTAACATTTATAATTTTATCAATAAATGGTGCAAGAAATCTTAAATTCTGCTGTTTGTCTCTAATTCAAAATCATATAAAGATGTTACTTTTGATTGCATAAAACATTCTACTTTGAAAACATGCATGTGTATGCTTTGTGTATTCTAAGGAATCAATCTCGATTTCAATATGTATAATAGTTTATGGCTTCCTAAGTATGTCCACTTCTGGAGTCTATACAAAGCATGTCCACTTCTGGAGTCTATACAAAGTAATAATGCCAAATGAAATGGGGTAGGTACTTTTGAAGGAAGGTTTCTGTATTCAAAAATTTATAATGACTCTTATTACCATTTTCGGTGAATTACACTGATTCTTTTTGACATGCATTGGATCTGAGGATTTTGTGCAAACCAGAGTCACTGTCTCCATAACTTTGACTTGAAGGATAAGCTCTTGTTCGTATACATCCAGAAATCACAAAGCAATTAATAATGGTAAAATAAGAATTAATGAGTTTGTGATTATTAAATAAAATGGTTACTTTTATAATATTTGTATTATTTTCCCTGGACAATACAAAATAAGAAATATATACACCCCTCCTTCTTTCTTGGGATAGAAGAAGTGGAATTAAATACTAATGTGCGTTGACAACTAGTTTAATAACTATTATTTCTTGGTTAAAGAAAAACTTTACATTGTAATATTTATGCCTTAATTAACATACATGAGAGACATTTAAACATAACATCAGAAAGGTTTTCTTACCTTATCAAGAGAGAAAGTTTTGGTTAGGGCAAAACCCCATCCAGCTTCAAAAGCTCTTCGAATCATTGATGTGCTGGTAGCTGGAGTTGCACTAGCAAGACCAAAAGGATTTATAAACTTCAATCCAGCCATTTCCACACTAATGTCCACCAGATCAATAGGAGTGTAAAAGAGGGGTAGTTCAGGCTTGGCAGGAACTGAAGCTCCATATTCTGACTGCAAAAACGCAAACATCCAATAATTGTTCTTGTATCACATCTGAACTGTCCATACAATCTTTTATAAAAATCACTTCAATACAGCATTTGAATTAACATAGATTACATTGGTCTGTGTGTCATGATGGAAACTGGCAAAAAAACAAAACCAAAAAAACAGCAGTGAACCAAATCATCACCCTTTTTCTAATTTAAAAGGCAATGTGGCAAGTATTAAGAGAAATAAAATCAATTAAATAAACAAATAAGCACATCTATTTAAAACATACTGAGATTCAAGCACAAAAGGGAATAATTTTATGACTTAGTTCCCTGGTCTCATTAACCCAACCTCTTTGTACTTAATTTATAAAAATGTCTTTAGTGCTCAGAGATATGGGCAACAGCAAGTCAGGAGGCCCACATTCAATTTCCAGTAATCTCAGCACTGTTGATATGATTTTAGGGAAGCTACCTAACCTGTCCTTATCTTTTCTCTTCTATAGTTCTCAGTTTAGCAGCGGGAATGCTGGTTGCCTAATTTCCTACCTCATAGGGATATTGGAAATGCAGCAAACCATAAGCCACAGGGAGACATCTAATTTGGAAAGTGGGCAATGTACTAATGTGCATTAGGGGAGTTTGTTTTCTTCAGAAACGAACAAGATACCAAACAGTTTATGTCAAAATCTTCAAAAGACATGCAAAACTAAATTTACCTCTGTTCAATGATCACTGTAAAAATGCTACAGTGCCAGAATATTGGAATGATTTAATGAAAACACTTCCATACATGGCACCCTGAAGCATAGTAGGTGCTTGCTAAATATTGTCTCCTTTTCTGACTGGGTATGTTATTAAAGATCTCATCAGGCCTTTCATCTGTAAAGTGCTTCCCTCTCTCTCTCTTATTTTCCTTTCTCTCACTCTTTCTCTTTTTACCAATCCTTCTCCTTTTTCTGTTTATCTGTGAAAGTCAAACAATACTGGGAAATATGAAAAGGATGAATGTTCTCAGTCAAAGTGGTTATTGAATGGGCAGGGCTAGTTAATTCAAAAGTAGAACTCTTTTCTCTTGTGAATCATCACTCAAAGGAAAAGTTATTTGAGCAGAACTTTAATTTTACAGGAGTGTGTCTTGTGTAGATAAAGATTGCCATGACTTGCATAGAAATTATTTCTGGCCCTCCACCATTTATAATGCAAAGTAAAGTTCACTTAATATGTAAAATGGCATCAAACTTGTCCATTGAAAGACTAATGTGTCTCTGGTCCCTACAAAGAGATGCTGGATGACATCAGGGCTTGGGTTATGGCAGGGACCTTCTGCCAAGGATGTTCCAAGCTTCAAGGCATATTTTTGAATATTGGTTAGTGTGTTTGTGAACACAGTTTCTCCTGTCCTCACATAGGATTGCAATATTATTAAAAGGATTATTAGAAAGACAAAAATTATACTGTGTGACACAAGGAAGCAGGGGTAAGTTGAGATGTGCCTGTATGTGTTTGTATGTGTGCACACATGGGGATGTACAGGGATGAATATGGAAGAAAGTCACCCCTGATGATATTTCTTAGCTTGTATAATCATAATTAAAATCGAACAAGCAAGTTTTAGATTAGACAAAGAAAGAATTTCCCAACAGTCAGGGTTAGTTAGTCCTGTGAAAAATTTAGAAACACTTTCCCTATCTGAGAGTCTGAGAAACACTTGCACTTGGCAGCCTTGTGTCTGATGCCAATAGCAAAAATACATGTGGTCCTATCTATATTATGAGGTGAAGTAAATGACACTACAGGATCTCTTCTCTTTTTATGGCTGCATACTGAATGTCTCATGCCTGAAATCTTACAGATGAATTTCAGTTTGTTCATAATTGTAGTTATATACAGCACTGGGCAACTGCCCAAAAGAAGCAGATACATATGTGTAGTTCAACTTGCATTGCTTAATTTATGTAGTTTTAAATAAATAAAGTATTGCTCTGAATTTTTTAAGCAGGGTGCTGCCTTAATACTTACAAAGTAAATTATTTGGCACATTTTGCAATTGTTTCTTTCAGCTTCAGAATGAAACCAAAAAGGAAAGATACTAAAGCAAATAAAAAAAAAATGCACACCTAAAACTCCTTCAAATGAGAAGTACAGCTTCTTTTAAAAATATTTTTTAATTCACAAAAATGCTACTGATATGTATGTGTGAATTATATAACCTATAATCTCATTGGTGATAGGCAGTCTTTTTTTATACTGTGCACACACTGGATTATTTTTGGTTTTGTCTTTGTGGCTTTTTGCCACAGTGTGGTGCTACAGCAGCCCAGTCTGTTAAACCACATAATATACCCATGGCCTAATATACATCTTGTTTTTTAAACTTTAAAATCCTGCACTCATGATCAGAAAATTTAAGCATCTGAAATCTTCGCTCTTAACATAAGGTTACTTTTTCCCAAATCCCAACTGTAACCTCTAAACTCATATTTCTGAAAGACTGCAAGACCTTCAAATGTGGCTGCTTTCCCTTCACCTCAAAGTCAACTACTTTAAAATGCTTTTTATTGTGTTCCCTTCTAAAGAATGTTATCCAGATTTTCAATTTTAGACAATACTACTTTTCTAGTCATTCAATGGTATTAGTAAAATAAAAATAGATATAAGAAAACAATCTCGATTTTAAACACTGAAGATTAGTTTCATAATGGTTCTACTGTAGAAAGGCAGGTTATGCTGGGGCCAGCTGATGATATGGATGTTAAGGCAAAAATCCCTTGAGACTGACTCAGGGGTCTGAGTCCTGCACCCAGCAGCTTGAAAAACATGCTGGGTGCATGTGGGTGTGTGCCTCAAATCCTGAAAGGATAATGGAAAAGAAGGGTTGCAGTATGGTCATCCCCATGAAGGGGTGACTTCTCACTTTTCACCTCTCTCTATCTCTCTGTATCTCTCTGGTAAGTGCATTTGCCCTATAGCAAAACTAAAAAGAAAAAAAGAAAAAAAAGGAAAAGAAAAAAGAAAGTTAGGTTATGCTAGTGGCAGAAAATTTAAGAAAATAAGAACCTATGGATTTCAAAAAGTGTTTATCATGTACTAAGTTAAAAACTATTGGGTTAACATTATATGTAAATCCAAAGTGTTCAGTAAATATACACATGTTAGTATATATATTTATTATATCTATTTTGCTATATATCTGTGTTTATCTATCTATCACAAAGAGTAAACATCAACATGTTAACCAGAATTTTCTCTCAGAATCAAGGTTTTAGATGACCTTTAGTTTAAAAAATTTTTATCATACCTTAAAAAACTCATATTTTAATTCCATTTTTTCTTGAGCTCTTGGAATCTCCATGGATAATTGGGACATCACTATGACTAAATATAGTTAACATAAATAGCACGAGAAAACAGCTAAAGTAAAAGGAGATGAAGTCATAAAGAAATGAGATGAGAACGGTAAAGAAGATTAAGGAAGAACTACATGTCCAGATTACAAAGGTAAAAAGCAATGTATCTTCCATAGAAGCTTTTTCCAAAGTCTTAAAAGACATTGAAAATGAGAGATATGTCAAAAGATAACCTTTTCAAAGTTTCTTTATCTTTTTCCATGAGTGACAGAGATAAGAGAGACAGAGATAGAAATTCACACCAACATTCAGCCGGCTCTAGATTATGGTCATGCATGTGTTCGGCAAACTCAGGGAAGTCTTCAGATATGAACCAGGAACCTTCCTGTGTGGGTCAGCTTTGTGAGAGGTCCCCAAATTTATATGCGTTATAGTTATTTTTCTTACTTATTTTCCATCTGAGAATTCCTGCAAAGTTATTCAGTACCTAAATAATACAGCATAAACTCCCTTAGTACTATATAATTTCCTGTGATCTGGGCTTCCCCCTCCCCACCTTTTCTAATCTAATCTCCTACCACTGCCTCACAATATTTTATACTTCAGTTTATAGAACTGGTTCGACAATATTAGTAATGCATCTATGAATTTATTTGATTATTATCATTATTTTGGAGAGGTTTTTGCTATAGAGTGAATGAGCTCGCCAAAAAGACAGAGAGAGACAGAGAGACAGGAAGCGAGAAATCATCCCCCAGGAGGGGGATGGCCATGCTGTGATCCCTTTTCCTCCATTTTCCCCTTGGGATCCTGGGCCTGCATGCACACACGCCTGGCATGAGTTTAAGTCACTGGGTCCAGGACTCAAACTGTAGTCAACTACAAGAGAGTTCAGCGACATAGCCATTACACTGCCTGCTGGTCCCAGAATTTATTTTACTTGTAAGATTATTTCATTTATTTGACCTGACATGTTCTTTGCTGCTTAGTTTTAATGCTTTAAAAATTCCAACTTAAACCTTCAAGAATTGGCCCTGTTGTCATCTCTACTAGGAAGTTTCCCAGGCTCTTTCTAAACAAAAAGGCTCCGTTATCTTACTTTGTTCTTGTTTGTTTACACATATGTGTTTTCTGCTTAAGTTAATTTCAGTATCTAGTATTAGACCAAGCAGAAGTATACTTGAAATAGTAATTGAATTTATTAGACTAGTGAACTTAGGTACTAACTCTTGTATACATCAGTTCTCAGTAAGGCGAGACTCAGCTTAAATGAAATAATGGTTAACTTTATTCTAAATATGTAAAAGTCCATATTGATGCTTGCCAAGGTGATATTTCATAAACAGGCAAGGATCCTATACTAGCACTTTTTAGAGTATCTGCCCAATTAAACAGTAGTTTACTTGAATAGACTCTCAGTAGCCCCTTAGTCCATATACTCTAAGATTCTAAGGTAGTCACATTCACCATACTTCTGGGAAGATCATTGCATTTAGCAAAGACTCTCTAAAGAGCCATCTAGTGGGAATGGTAAGTAACTGCTCTGGGGAATTAAGCTACCATGTACATACATTCTGTAGTTCATTCGTATTAACTTACATAACGATTCACCAGCATCACAATTTTTCCCGGGTCCTGCCAAAAACAAATTACCATTCAATTCTTTTTC